AGAGGGACTCCAGCCCTGGCAGCATCTCCGGGGCCTCCTCTGGACTCTCTCCAGCAGCTCCACATCCTTCCCGTGCCGAGGATCCCAGGGCTGGATGTTGTGCTCCAGGTGGGATCTCAGCACATCCCTAAAGCCAAGGACATGAGGACATTCCTCCTTCCCCCAGGAATTTGAAGGGTTAAAAACATGGATATTTTAAAACTGCTCATTTCCCCAGCAATGGGTTAAAGAAAATCCTGGTGCCAGCAGTGCCAACGGCTCCTCCTGTGCCACATTCCAGAGACATCCCGGGGCACTTTGGCACTTTCCTCACCGTGAATTATCCGAATTCCCAGGAAAATGAAACCAAAACAACCCACAGCTTCCAACAGGCCTCAAGGCAGAACCCAGGAGCCAGCTGAGGGATTGCAGCTCCCTGGGGTGGAGGACGCATCCCACCGGGAAGGACGGAGCACCCGGCCAGGAGCTGGGATTGATCCATTTGGGATCAGCCTCCTGCAGGGCCACTCACAGGTTTTATTGGCATCTCCCTAAAACTGATGGACGTGCCCAAATCCAGGAGATCTCCTGCTCCTTGAGCACCTGGTGCCATGTTTGCCAGCCCAATCCAGCCAGGAACAGCAGGGATGGAGGTGGCTACAGCTGGATCCAGGGCTGGCAGCTCCAGGGAGCACAGGAGGATTTCGGGAGCTGCAGCATTCCAGAGGGAAGCACGGACACACACAGGGGTCCCACATTCCCTGCTTTGGGTCAGGAATGCCTCAAATCCACCTTTCCCTCTGGGCTGGAGCTCCTGGCTGGGGAATGAGGAGGGAGAGCAGCTCCTTTGGAAGGAGGAGGGTGGGCAGTGGCACGTTGGGAATGTGTGGAATGCCCGGAGTTATCTTGAAGCAAACCAGGCCCCTGGAGCTGCTTCCAGGTTGGTTCTGCTCCACTGCTCCAGCCCCGAGGGCTTCAAGGAGCAAACACCGTTCCAGTGGATTTTTCCAAGTGATATCCTTCCCTCAGGAGCACCAGGAATGGCTGTGCCAGGAAACCCCATAACAGGGATTTCTTCAGTGCTGCAGGTTCCCTGTTCCCACTTTCTCTCCCAAAACAGACACTTGGAGCTGCTTCAGCAGCAGCTTCCCAGTTTCTCTCCCTGAGGACAAGGCTTGTCCCTCCAGGAACACCAGGAAAACGGGACTGAGATCCCAGAATCCCACAATGGTCTGGGTGGGAAGGGGCCCTAAAGACCATCCAGTTCAGGGACACCTTCCACTAGCCCACATTGCTCCAACCTGGCCTTAGACACTTCCAGGGATCCAGGGGCAGCCACAGCTCCCCTGGCAAATCCATTCCATCCCTCCCCACCCTCACAGCCAACAATTCCTTCCCAATATTCCAGCTAAATTTACTCTCTTTCAGTTTAAGCCATTCCCTGTGTCCTGTCCCTCCATCCCTTGTCCCCAGTCCCTCTCCTGCTCTCCTGGAGCCCCTTTAGGTCCTGGAAGGGGCTCTGGAGTCTCCCTGGAGCCTTCTCTTCTCCAGGTGGGCTCAGGCACCTCAACCCCTGGTCTCCTCCTCCAGCACCAAGGAAAAGGTGCCCCCTCTTCCTCCTCCCCCTCCTCCTCCTCCTCCTCCTGCTGCCCGTGTCCCCCAGGGAATGGACACCCTCTGGATCATCCCTGGAGCCATAAACCACCTCCCACGTTTAATCCTCATTTTATTTTTTAATCCTTTTTTATTCCTTTAAAACCCTGTGCCTCGAGGTCTCCACGCTCCGGGATTTCGGGAAGCGTTTCGGGAAGCGCGATCCCGGCTCTGGGAGCAGAGGAGGCACCCAGGAGTGGTTGTTGGGGTTTTTTTTGTGCAACAAAAGGTTACAACAAAGGCAAAAAAGCGGTCGGGACCTGCCCGGTGACATTCCTGAGCGGGAGATCGCCTTTCCCAAGCCCGGCTCCTCCCAGAAATCCACCTCCGGGAGCGGCCCAGCCTTTTTAAGGATGCTTTTTCGGGCTGACTCAGTGTCCGACAGCTGATTCACTGCAGCTCTCGCGGAGCTGAAGAGTCGAAGGTTATTTTTGTTCCCCCCCCCCCTCCCTTTCCGAGCCCTTTCCTTGGATTTTTAGCTCCGCTTTTAACGAGCTGCGCTCGCACGACAACCCCGATCCCAACGTGCTCCCTGACGATCCCAAACTCCAGCCGTGGACTCTCGCAGGTCCCCGAGTCCCCGAGCCAGGTCCCCGTGTCCCAAAAGGGCTGTTTTTCCCGGTGGGAATGAGGCGGAAAGGCCAAAGTCCACCCCCACCCTGTCCCTCCCAAAGGCGCATCCGGGGCTGCGCTTCCTGGTCCGGGATTAAACAGGAGCGGTTTTAAAAAAAAAAAAAAAATCAAAGGAACCCGCGATAATCCCGAGTTGCAAAGACAAATCCCCCCGGGAGAGGTGGGAGCGGGGGATCAGCTGAGCCGGAATTCCCGGGAGAGGAGCGGGGTTCGCACAAAGGGCTTTGCCGGAGCTCGTTCCTGCCCTGGGAGTTCGGGAGAGAGAAAAAACCAAGGAACAAAAAGACACCAGGAAAAAGAAAAAGGGGGGGGGGAAGAGAAATGCAAAGATTAGGAGACAGTTTCTAGAAGGGGGGGGGATGGGAAGATTTGAGAGTAGCAGAAGCGAAAGAGGAAGAGGCCGAGAAAGGTGTGGGAATGTGGGAGGGTGGGAATGGTGGAGCCGGAGCCGAGAGGGTTTGTCCTTCCTCTGGACAGAGAGCGTGGAATCCCCATCCCTGGAAGTGTCCAAGGCCGGGCTGGAGCAACCTGGGATGGTAGAAGGTGGGATGAGATGATCCTTAAGGTCCCTTCCATCCCAGTTCATCCCGGGATTCTCCACAGGGTGGAAAGGATGGGATGGGGTGGGGTGGAGGAGGAACCATCCCAAAAACCCCGGGATGGGGTGAGGATCATTCCCTGACCCAGCACAATTCCCAGGAGAGCTCGGGGTGGTTTCCCCCTTGAGATGCAGGTTTTCCCCCCTGGTTTGCTGGGAAGGCAGAATTCCACTCCCAGGAATTTCCCAAAAACCCAGCGGATTATCCCAGTTCACCCCTTCCAGCGGGACATCTGTGCCCAGCACTTCCCTTTTCCAAAGGGCTCCCGGGGTTCAAAACCAAAATCCAAGAGGAAACGGAGTGATGGGCTCTTCTTGATCCTGGGAAAAACTCCCCTCGGATTCCAGGGGGGGAAAGGGACGTTTAACAAGGAAAGGAAAAGCAAATCCAAAGGTAAGATTTGGGATTCAAGCATTCCCTAAGATGTGGGATTCAAGCATTCCCTAAGATTTGGGATTCAAGCATTCCCTGCGGAGCAGAGCTTGCCCTCATTTGCCTTGCAAAGCTCCCTCTGCATCCCAACAAAACTGGCTGGGGCTGGAGAAGCGGGAAAAGGGGAAAATCCATGGAGCTGCCTCCACAAAGGCTTCCATGGATTTGTGGACAAGGAGGAAAATCCACGTGGAAAGCAAAGGTTTCACCCCGAAAGCTGCCTCTTCACAGGGATCCATGGATTTGTGGACAAAGGGGACAGCCTATGTGGAAAATCCATGTGGAAAATCCACGTGGAGAGCAAGCTTTTCATCCCAAAAGCTGCCTCTCCAAAGGGATCCATGGATTTGAGGATAAAGGGGACAATCTGTGTGGAAAATCCATGTGGAAAGCAAAGGTTTCACCCCAAAAGCTGCCTCTTCACAGGGATCCATGGATTTGAGGACAAATGGGAAAAATCCATGTGGAAAGCAAAGTTTTCATCCCAAAAGCTGCCTCTCCAAAGGGATCCATGGATTTGAGGACAAAGGGGAAAAATCCATGTGGAAAACAAAGTTTTCATCCCAAAAGCTGCCTCTCCAAAGGCTTCTATGAATCTGAGAATAAAGGGGAAAATCCATGTGGAAAATCCATGTGGAGAGCAAACTTTTCATCCCAAAAGCTGCCTCTCCAAAGGTTTCCATGGATTTGAGGACAAAGCTGGCTGGAGATGGAATTTCCTACTCAAACCCTCCTCAACTCCTGTGGAATTCCAAGGATTCCCAGGCAGGGGAAGGATTTTGGGGAAGGATTTTGGCCGAACCCGCCACGGGATGAACAAAAACTCCTGGAAAAAGGGATTTCCCACCTTGACTTGGGTGATGTGGAATCTCTGGGATGAAACCCAGCACTTCCAAGCTGGTTAAAAAGCAGGAATTCCCAGCTAAAAAAATCAGCTGGAGTCCAAAAAACAAGAGTTTTTTTCCACTTTAGAGGATCAAGTCAGAATTCCAGGGTGGGATGAGCAGCCCAGGGATGGGAAGCACCAGCCAGGGGGATGCTCCGGGGCCACAGGAGGCTCTGGGATCAGGTGGCAGGGCTGGAATTCAAGAGCAGCTTATCCATTATTCATCCCATTCCCAGGATCTCCAGCTCCTCTTTCAGACCTCAAGTGGCTCCTCCGGCCCCGGATCCAACCACCCGGAAAATTCCCTCCCAGGGACCTCAGGGATGGTTCTCCAGGGGGAGTTCCAGCCCCAAATCCGTGGGGGCTGTTCCCAAAATCCATGGGGATTGTTTCCCACAAGGGATATGTTTTCTGCAAGGAAAATCCTCCCAAGAATTCCCAAATATTCCCGAGGAACAGCAAGGGTTTGCTCTGACTTGGTCATTCCCAGCAGCCGAGCTCCCCCAGAGGAGGTTTTTAGGGATAAAAGATGGGAAAAGGTCACATCCCACATTTTCCAAGGCAGTTTGACCTCCTCGGGGCTCCCAAAAATCCCTGATGGAGTTTTTAGGGCAGGAAAAGGGCTCCAGAGGCAGCTGCTCCTGCCAGGAATGACCCCCTGGCTCAGCTGGATTTGGGCTCCCATTTTCCAGGGACAAAAGCAGTGACATGAATCCATGGAAAAGAAAAAAAATCCACCCTTAAAACACCCCAAAACCAGGGACAGAGGTGCAGGAATGGCTGGGAAATCCAGGGAAATCCTGGGAAATCCACGGAAATCCAGGGAAATCCAGGGAAATCCAGGGAAATGGCACCGGAAATGCTGCCGCTCAACCCCAGGTTTTCCCCCTTTACTCCCAGAGTTTTTAAGGCTGGAAAAGTCCTCCGAGATCATGGAATCCAACCATCCCCCTCCTCGGAATATTTGCACTGGGAATTTCGATTAAAAAACTGAATTAAATTGCACAGGAGGGAAAATCCTCCTTAAAAACAACCCATCCCGGGGAGAGAAAAGCGGGAATAAATCCCTCCTTACTTGTGCTTGACGGGCTCCTCGTCCTCCTCCTGCCTGGGAATTTTGTTCTCCCGTTCACCACCGTCCTTGTTCTGGAAAAAAAAACAGGTGGATCTGTCGGGATTTGGCCTCTCCGGGAATGAGGGAGAGCAAAAAAACAGCCCCCGAATCCCTCAGGGATCGGGATGTTTTACCGTCGGATGAAGGGAATGATGGGAGAGAAAATGGATAATAAAGGTTTGGGAAGGGAGAAAGCCAGGCAAAAAATCTGGGAATCCACACCAGGTCCCCTTTTTTTCCCCCTAATTGATCATCTTGGATGTTTAAACAAGTTGGAAAACACGGAATCCAAGAGGGATCAGCACAACAAAGGGCGGGATTTCAGCTCCAGGAACACCAAGGATCCAATTCCTCTTGGAAAGAGGCTCATTTTGCATCCCCAGACCCCGGGACAAAGAGCTAATTAGTGGAATTCCCAATTAGATTTGTTATCCAGGCAGGCACAGATCTGGAATGTTCCCAACAAGGAGCTGGGAAGGGATTTGTTTGGTTTTCCCACTGATTCAATAATTCCAAGCACTAAACAAAGTGTTTTCCACCCCCATCCTGCTCTGGAGAGAACATCGTTCCAGCAAAGGGAATGCTGGGACCAATCCCTGGGAATCCTGATGGAATTATCCTCCAAAGAACAAGGACAATGTGGCAGCAGATTAAGTCATGGAATTCCAGCCTGGACTGGGTTGGAAGGGACCTGAAGGATCATTCCATGAGCAGGGACACCTCCCACTATCCCGGGTTTGGGGCTTGGACACTCCCAGGGATCCAGGGGCAGCCACAGCTTCTCTGGGAAATCCATTCCAGCCCCTCCCCACCCTCCCAGCCAGGAATTCCTTCCCAATATCCCAGCTAAATTTATCCTCTCTCAGCTCAAAGCCACTCCCTGTGTCCTGTCCCTCCATCCCTTGTCCAAGTCCCTCCCTCGGAGCCAGCTCCAGGATCCCAATATTATTTCCAGCTAAACCCAATCCCAAACCCCTCCAAGAACCAGGAATGTTTCCCAACAACCAGCTGACTCGTCCCTGGATCCCGACTGCACAAACTTCCAAACTCTGGGTTAAAAATTAGATCCCAAGCAAACAGGGAAAGGAGCCAGGAAGCAGCTCTGGAATTGTTCAGGTCCAGCTCCTGCTCAAAGGGCGACAAAGACATTCCTGGCTTTTGAAAAAGAGGGAAAAAGAACAGGAATCATCCCTAAATTTGCAATTTGAGTTGGATTTTTAACTCCTGTTCACCTTGGGATACTCACACGGACATTCCCGGTCCAAGAAATGTTCCATCAATTCCATAAATAACCAGGAAGAGCCTCTGGAACTATGAGGAATATTTAGACACCTTTCCATGGGATCCGAAGTCGTGGGAAGCCCCTTCCTGCACTCCAAGGCCTTTCTCATTCCTTTCACCTCTTCCTCCTTTAAGTGCCTGCATTCCTCTCCTTCCTGCTGGAATTTTATCCAGGAGGGTTTGAAGATAAGGAGAGATTTGGCCCCTGGAGCTGTTCCCTCCCTCTGTGGGCAGAGCCACAAAGCTTTTCCCTGGATCCTGAAAGAACTGGATACTAAATCCTCCCAAACTTGCCCCAAACCCCCAATTCCAACTGATTCCACCCCCATCTTCCCTAAAGTCTCGGGGATATTCCTGGAAAAACCCAGGACACCGGCCCAGGTTGGCCGGAGAGGTCGTGGAACGCCCATCCCTGCGGGATCAGGGAATGGCCTGGGCTCCTTCCCACTGGGAATGTGGGATTTGGGGCCAGGAGTTGGACTCGCTGACCCCTGGGGATCCCTCCCAGCTCATTCCCAGGGAGATGATCCCTCTCCCACCAGCCCCCGCATTCCAAGCGGGTTTTATTCCCCTCCTGAAGAACGACGGGATTTTCCGGAGCTCCCGCCGGATTCCACGTCCTCCCACTTCCCAGACTCCAGGCAGGCCGTATCCCAAGGCAGGAGGGAAGCCTGGAGAACCAGCAGGCGGGAATGTGGCTGTGGAAGGATTTCTAGGATCCCTCTGGGAGCTTTGCCTATGGAATTCCACCCCATCCCACTTATTTTCCCGGCAGGAAAAGCAACTCTCCAACCCAGCAGGTGCTTTCCCAGCTCTTGGTTCCCTGGGAAATGGAACATTTTAAGGAATATGGAGCTTTCCCTTGGGCTCCAGCACATTATCAGGCTTTTTCCATGCTGGCAGGAGCATTCCAGGGAAGTTAGGGAAGAAACTCTTTGCATTGCATCCATGAAAGCCAAGGGGGGGGGTTAAATCCCTTTGATCTGGGAATTCCCAGCCAGTTATCCCTACACTGTGACAATCCCCATCCAAGGAAAGCATCTTTTCCAAGAAAAGGGCAAGGACACAGCCTTATCCTGAAGGAACAGCCGCAGGATCCATAATTTTCCTTCACAGGTATTTGCTGCCAGCTGAGCTGGAGCTGCTCCTATTCCCTATTTTCTGGCTGCTGGGATCCAGCTTCGGGGAGCCCGGGAAAGGGAAAAGGTTCAAATCCCAAAAAACACATCCCAGCCTCATCTTCCCGCAAACTGGGAAGCTCCAGGTGCCACAGTGGGATTTCCTCATGGATAATTCATCCAGGGAATGAGCATCCACCTTGTTTGGTGCTTAAATCCCCGTTTTCCTTGGAATTTCTTTGGATTCAAGGAGACACAGAGGTGAGCTCAGCTCCCAGGGATATTCCTTCATCCCATTCTCTTCTCTTTGGGAACTGGGAAGCTCCCAGATCCCAGAGTGGGATTTCCTCATGGATAACTTCATCCAGGGAACGAGCATCCACCTTGTTTGGTGCTTAAATCCCTGTTTTCCTTGAAATTTCTTTGGATTGAAGGAGACATGAAGGTGAGCTCAGTTCCCAGGGAAGTTCCTTCATCCCAGGATGGCACCTCCTGGGACTTTTTCCTTCCCCCCTGGCCAAGGGGAAGCTCAGGTGTCCTGGAATCCTGGCCCAGCCCTGCCCTCACCTCCAGGCTTTTTCCAAAGGTTTCATTCCAGAGGCAAAAAGCCAAGTCCTGAAAAGTCCCCGGAGCAGCCAAAGGTTTCTCCTGGCAGGAAAACAGCTCCAGAATCCAACAATTCTCCAAGGAGCCAAAAAAACAAAGGATCACAATTAAACTATCCAACAAAAAGTCCTGAAGGGAAAAACCTTAAAAACTTCCTTAAAACATCCTCAGGATCCAGGATCCACCGCTGGTTTTCCAGGAGCCGTTTGGAATCCAGCAAATGGAGATAACGGGATCAAAGGAGGATTTTTGAAAGGCAGAACTTGTGTGTCCCTGCTGCTCATCCCTGACTGAATTCCTAATCCTGGTTACTATGGAAATGGCTCGATCCCAGCTGGAGCAGCGGGACTTCCAGAAGAAACAAACCCCGGGAACAAAAGCGCCTCGGAAAATTCAACACCTTGGCCCTGTGTCCTTGGAAAAACTCCTGTTTCCCAGGACAACTCCCTGACAGGAGGGGGGAGCCGGGGAGGGATTGGGCTCTGCTCCCAGGGAACAAGGGACAGGAGGACAGGGAATGGCTTCCAGCTGTGCCAGAGGGAATTTAGGTTGGATAGTGGGACAATTCCTCCTGGAAAGGGCTGCCCGGGGCAGGGGTGGAGTCCCCATTCCCGGAGGGATTCCAAAGCCCTGTGGATGTGGCACTTGGGGACATGGTCAGAGCAGCCTTGGCAGTGCTGGGAATGGCTGGACTCTGATCCCAGAGGGCTTTTCCAACCTCAGCAATTCCATGATCCCCCAGAGCCCAGCGGAGATCCCGCCCTGCGGAGAAGGAAAGATCCAAAGGGGATTTTTGTCCGTATTTCCCCAAGGAATCCTTTGATTTTCCAACGAGAAACACTTTGTTCCCATCACTGGGGTTCGTATCCCGGAATTCCCTGTGGCCACAACCTTGTGTGAATCCCAGGAAAAAAAACCTGCTGCTCTTAATTCCCTGTCTCCCTGCGCCACCCAATTCCTTCGGCACAAACACCTGGATCTGCGGAATTGCCGAGTTCTTTCCCAGCCCTTCGTGCTCGTTTCTCTTCCCACCATCCCTCAGGTGCTTTGGAACCATCCCAGTTTCACGGATGGGGAATTTAAACCCTCGTTCCCAAAAAAAAACAACATGTGTTGGAAAAGCCTGGGTTGTGCATCGCTGGGAACGTTGGGATTGCAGAGGAATTTTCCTGGAATCTTCAATTCCCTTGGAGCCTCCAAGCAGATCCTTTGGAGCAGGAATGACGTTGGGATGATCCCGGTGATGTCCATCTGCATCTTTCTGCCTGGGAAAGCCAGGTTGGGAGGGGAAAATCCAAGGAAAATCCCGGCAGGGCTGGCGCTGGCGTTGCCTTTCAGTGGGATTTGTTGTTTTAATTCATGGAGAGGGGGGAAAAAGGGAAGAGAATTCCAGAGGAAGGGTGAACCAGCAGCTCCACAATTCCAAGCGGGGTTTGTCTCCCACCCGAGCGGCTCCGCTTCATCAGCGCCGCCATTTCCAGCCGGGAAACCCTCCGGAATTCCTTCCCCTCCCTCATTTTCTCCTTCCAAAAGCGGGATTGGGATGATCCCCCCTGGAGTTTTGGGGCTGGGGCAAAGCTCGGACCTTCCAGGCAGGGCTGGGTGTGGAAAAGCAGCCCTGGAGGTGGTTTTTCCCTGGTTTTCCCCCAGTTTTGTTTCCCTCTGGAGCAGTGGAAGCGGCCACGTGGAGCGGCCGGGTTTGCTCCGGCTTTTCTCCTGGAATTCCCTCTCCTCCCTCCCATCCCACGGGACGACAGGAGGAGAACTGGAATGTCGTCCCTGCGGATTCTCAGCCTCTGATCCCGAACTCTTGCTCTCCCTCCCGAATTCCCAGCCCTCCGCAGCAGCTCCAAGGCAGGAAGGATGATGCTGTTGTTGGGAAGGAAAAACAAGGCCTGGAAAATTCCCTCAGAATTCCTCCCAGGGCCACATCCAACCGGGAATGAGACGGGAAGGGAGGGAAGCAGGATCCTTCTCCACCTGCAGAGTGGGAAGACACAGGGATTCCCAAACCAATCCCAGCCCATTAACCCTCAAATCATGTGGAAGAAAACCTTTTATCCCTCCATCTGCTCCCTGGCTCTTCCCGGGAATCCCGACGGAACGACGGCGGAGGCGTTTTTCCTACGAGGTCAATGATGTTATTCCCTCTCCAACATCTTCTGGAGACATGGAAACGGAAAAGCTCTTGTGGCACTAATTCCTGGTTTCGGGATGGAAGGGATTCCCTCAGCTTTTCCACAGATTCCCACCTGGATCATCAGCCTCCCTCCTGCATTTTATCCATCCTTTCAGGCTGGCACTGCCATCCTGCATTCCCTGTCCCATCCAAAGGGACATTCCCGTTTTCCATCCGTCCCCTCCAGCTGCACCTTCCCGTGGCCGGTGCTCACCTCTCCCAGTGGGAAACCACTTCAAGGATTTCCCTTCCCACAAAATTCCAACCAAACCAACTAAAAAGGGATTCACAGGTACAAATAAAAGGCGGTTCCCTTCCGGAATCAGCTCATTCCAGGATCAAACACAAGCCAGGAAAGCTGGGATGTGGCCACAGCAGGTGTAAAAGGCAGGGAATTCCAGCACCTTGGGAATTCCAGCCGAGGGAAAACCCTTGGATTTCTTTGCTCCCTCCCATCAAACCTGTCCAACAGGAGCAGGCGGGTCCCGCTGCCGCTGCTTCCAGGAGTGCTGGAGAGGAGCTGGGAATGAGCAGACATGGAATTCTATCCTCACATTTGTCCATCCTTTCAGGAAACAAAGCCCCAACTTCCTAAAAACGCCAGTGCAGCTCCTGATTTCCCAGGAATGTCCTCAGGGATGGACACAGACACCACTGCTCCCTCCAGCCTCCCATCCCACCTGGGATCCCTGGGATTCGGGGGCAGGATATTGGGGCACTTGTCTATTCCCAGAGTTAATTCCCACTATTCCCTAAGCCCATGGCCCTAAAAGGAGCTTAAAATAAAACCGAACCCCACAATTATCTCACAGAATTCCAGACTGGTTTGGGTTGGAAGGAACCTCAAGGATCATCCCATTCCACCCCTGCCATGGGCAGGGACACCTTCCACTGGCCCAGGTTGCTCCAACCTGGCCTTGGACACTTCCAGGGATCCAGGGGCAGCCACAGCTTCTCTGGCAAATCCATTCCAGTCCCTCCCCACCCTCACAGCCAGGAATTCCTTCCCAATATCCACCTAAATCTCCACTTTTCCAGTTAAAGCCATTCCCTGTGTGCTGTCCCTCCATGTCTTGTCCCCAGTCCCTCTCCAGCTCTCCTGGAGCCCCTTCAGGCCCTGCCAGGGGCTCTCAGCTCTCCCTGGAGCCTTCTCTTCTCCAGGGGAACCCCCCAGCTCTCCCAGCCTGGCTCCAGAGCAGAGGGGCTCCAGCCCTGGCAGCAGCTCCGGGGCCTCCTCTGGACTCTCTCCAGCAGCTCCACGTCCTTCCCGTGCCGAGGATCCCAGGGCTGCACGCTGGGCTCCAGGTGGGATCCCACCTGAGCCAACAAAGACCTTCTTATCTCAAAATCCACAACATTCCCGGGCCGGAATTGGAGAGCAGAACCTCCAGGCACAATTCCCAAGGTGACAGGAGCGAGCGCTCCGGTGGGAAGCACAATCCCTGCGTCCGCAGGTTCTCCAGCCCCGGGAGCAGGTGTGGGATCCTTTGGGACTTCCCTAATAAGACCTGGAGTGACTTCCCTATTAAAATCTGGAGAGAAAGGATCCTTTGGAGCCCTAAGTGTGTGTTTTTTCCCCAATGGAATAAACTCCCCGAGCTCTGTTTCCACAGCAACTGTTTTCCGGGCACTCGGCTTTCGGGATCGGGAGGTGCTTGGCTCCACCAAGACAGGAATTTAGCAGGAATGAAGGCAATCCAAGCAAAAATTAAGGAAAACTGAGGGCAGCAAGAAGCCAAACTGAGGGATCACAGCAGCCCCCCCAGCTGGAAAAACGTCCCACTGGTGTTTGTGGATCGACGGAGTTTTTGGGACGGCGGGGAAAGAGCGGAAAGGCGGGAAAACATTCCATTGTGAGGGGAAAAACGAGCAGTGCCTGCCCTTCCTCCCGCTCCTGCTTTTCCTGCCAGCACGGGAAGGTGTGGAGGAGCGGGGATGTGGCCGTGGAGCAAATCCAACCTTAAACAAAAGCCTGGGATGCAGCCAAAGGAATCTTTTCCGGCGCGATGAACAACACGCCGGGAACGCTCCGGTGCCGGAGCAGGGCTGGGAATGAAGGAGCAGGTGGGAGATTCCACCCCCCTCTTCCCATAAAAACACGGGAATGCTCCCGCTTTTCAAGGATTTGGGGGATGCCAGAGCAGGAGAAAAGAGCTGTGGCTGGGTGAGGAATGTTTGGGATGCAGGAAGGAATCTGCCCTGCACATCCCACACCACAATCCTTGATTTTGCCAATGGATCCTTTTGGAATATTCTCAGCATTTCCCTGAGCCAGCAGATATTTTAAAAGGAGAGGAATACTCAGGTCTTTTCCTGGGAAATTCCCTCTTTTCCTGGGAAATTCCCTCTGAGTGGAACCTTGAGCCACCCAACTCTTGTCCCGGGATTCAACAGCGGGAAAGGAAAGTGGAAAAGGAAAAATCCAGGATGTGCCTGATGGGGAATCCTAAATACTGTCACAGCGAGGAATTTTTTCCTTAAGTTAAGGAAAAGGTACCACTTTCTTCCCACTTAACAAGGGAAGAAAGCGAGGGAATGATGCAAGGGAGGAAAAGGGGGGATCTCAAAGCAGGAACTCATCCATCCATGTATTTTCCCTCAGATCATTTGGATAATCCTGGAATATATTCCCACAAAAAGCATTTCCATAGGAGCCAACGGCACAACCACCTGCTCTACTCCCTTGGAAGTCCAAGGATTCCAGACAGAAGAGGCTCATCCAGCAGCTTCCCACCGGTTGCCAGGCTGGTTTCATGGAATTCCCAAGCAGGAATCTCCTTGCTTGGTTTATTTATTATCCTCTCCTATCATTTTTTATTCCTAAATATTTCTGGAGAGCTTCCTCAAGTGAATCTGACCTGGAATCTGAGCAAGCAGAAGGAAGAAATCCCCCTTTTCCCTCTTTTTGGTGCCTCCAACCCTTCTGTTGGCACAAAATCCCAGGAAACCTGGATTTTTACCCAGGCAAGGACATCACACCAGTTTCTCCAGGGAAATTCCTGTTGTTCTCCTGAACAGTGGGAATAAAAAAGTGCCACCCTTTAGGCATCAGGTGCATCCCAAGAACCAGAATGATCTGGAAATTCCAGGAAGAGCGGGATGCCTTAACCAAGGGCTTGCAAGAAATGGGAGAAATAAGAATATTCCCAGAATATTTTCTTATTCCACTTTATCTCTAGTTTTTAGGATGCCTTGGATGGCTGAGGGCAGGGTTAGATGGAATATTGGGGAGGGATTACGGCTGTGAGGCTGAGGAGGGGCTGGGATAGAATTCCCAGGGAAGCTGTGGCTGCCCCATCCCTGGAAGTGTCCAAGGCCAGGTTGGAGCAACCTGGGATGGTGGAAGGTGTCCCTGCCCACTTTTCCAGTGGGAAGCCATTCCCTGTGTCCTGTCCCTCCATCCCTTGTCCCAGTCCCTCTCCAGCTCTCCTGGAGCCCCTTTAGGCCCTGCCAGGGGCTCTCAGCTCTCCCTGGATCCATCTCTTCTCCAGGCTGAATTCCTCAACTCTATTCCCATTTAAGCCATGAAATCCATGGGTGGCACTTCCCTGTCCCTCACCCCCCACTCCACATGTTCCTGAGCTCTCAGGCAGCCCCTGGGATGTTTGGGATGTTTGGGATGCTGCTCCTTCTACCAAAGGAAGGAGCTTCCAAAGCTCCTCCAAGGAGATGTTTTGGGCACATCCAGCCCTGGCACAGCTGCCCAGGGCAGGGGTGGAGTCCCCATTCCTGGAGGGATTTAAAATCCCTGTGGATGTGGCACTTGGGGACATGGTCAGCAGTGGCCTTGGCAGTGCTGGGAATGGCTGGACTCGATCACAGAGGCTTTTCCAACCTAAATAAATCTGTGATTCCATGACTTAACCCCTTTTCTATTGCCCTGTGCCAGCCCC